GATTAAATAATCCAAAACACTTGCACTCAGTACTCAAGTACTCAAGTAAATATGACTCATTCAAACACACATTGCTTTTCTGCATCTAAGTGTTTTCTTTTCTAACATTCACTCACACTCTGATAAACACACCATAGGTAACTTCAGTTAAGTATTTTGATTAAGGATAGAGATTGGAGCAACCAGGGATTACGTCAAGTACTTGAGGGTGGTTATGGCTCAAGAGGTAAGCCACAACAGAGGGTTATGTGCAATACGATAGATGATGCAGAGATGGATGTATGTGCTATTGTATGTTTCTCTGTATGTCTGAATTTGTCAAGGTGAATGCTGTGGCAGGCAGGATGAGGACCCAATTGCAGAACTCAAACACAGATAACAAAAAGAGGCAGCTTTTTTTGCTGTAAACAATTTGTACACTAAAACCAAGAAAAAAAAACAGACTGGGAGACTTCAAACTAGGAACTAAGAAACTGGAAATGGAAACAACAAGTTAGAAACTAAAAGTAGGAACAGTGAGTGACGAGGGAAATGAGGAGCATGGTGGAAATATGCACAGCACGATTAGGGAAGACATGACAATGGACAGAGGGAAACAGAGAACCTAAATACGCAAAGGATAACAAGGGAATGAGACAGAGGAGGGAAATACAGCTGTGACTAATCAGACACAACAAGGCAGGGAAGAAGCAAAACTGAGTACACTAAACACAGGATGCGAGATGGTCAAATAAAACAGCAAACATGAGGCACACACTAAGATGCAGACTGAACATAGGAAACAGAGGGAGGGAGAAAAACAGAGACATGACTGGGGAACAGGGAAATAAACATAAGGACAAAACTATATGTGGGACATGAAACAGTGAAGAAGAAAGACCAAAAGACTGGAAATCAGAGGAAACTAAATTATTAAACAAGGTCTAGGAACTAGAACTTTTTAAAAAAAAACTCAGGAGGCACTCTAAACTGAACATCAGAACTTCAGTATTCATTATGCAATATTCTGGGACTTTATGATTCAAAGGTCGATATCAAATTTCTGTCATTTGATGTTTGGAGTACCATTACGTCCTTATACCTTTTCACATTTCCTGTCTTATTATGAAGGATTGTAAATAAAATGAGGGCTAAATTAAATGCAACATCTGGTACACTGGCCACCCGACACTAGTAAACAGAACCCGCAAAATAACCGAGCTAACATTAACATTAGTGCAATCAATCCTTCTTTTTTTTTTTATCAGAACTTTAAAAGCAGTATTGAGCTAAGTGAAAACTAGGAAGCATTCATAACTAAGCTACATTTTTCCGCTCATTCAGTTTGTATTACTCTACAAATTATACAAAAAAAAGCAGCCAGACTAGAGATTCTGATGAATGCACTGAAAAATTGAGCTTTTTCTCCCAAAGCTATCATAATATAATATAATAATAATACAGTGAAGACATAACATCACTAACAAGATAATGGGCCTCTGTGAGAGGAATTTAGGTAGCTTCTTTGCACTGGGTTGGCACATGGCACTGAAGAAGTGGAGGAATTATATGCTATAATTTTACAACTCCTTCAGAAATACATCTGCAATAATGAAATATATTCCCAATAATGAAATAATGAAAAATATTCCCACTGCTATATGATCCATAATTGTAAATGTAAACATGAATGTTGCCATGAATTATCATTTTACAAAATCAGTGTTTATCCTTAGTTTCAGCGTTTCTTCAGTTTGGCCCTTGGAAGACAATAGACTATGGTTTCAAGGTATCTCTGTCTTCTGTTTGTCAAAAGGTTTGTTTCCAAGTGAGGTAAAATGATTTGAAACGTAAATGGGTTGTCCTGTTTTCTCAACTCCTCTGGACAATCTGTTGGAGGAAAGCTAATAGTGGTTAAACTACTTTCAGGGGCCTGTCTAGCTACACTTATTACAAGTATTGTCATTATTAAAGGAGGTTGAGGAGCAGTTAAACATTTGACACAGTAAGCAGGAAATTGTGGAAGGGACAAAAAGTAAAATTTCATTTATAGATATTAAATTAAGGCATTAATTATGCATGATATGTCTTCATTGTATATCATCGTTCTTCCTAGCAGCCACCTAACAAGTTATTTCCTCATAAGTCAACTACAAAGACTGGCATGATTAGTAAATTTGTGCCAGTCAAATCCGAACTGACACTGCTCCCTAAATCACTCTGCTTCAC